TAATGTTTTCTGCAAAATGTTGAACATCCCAAGCGAAACGCTCCGGTGCCGCACAGGATCACACCGACACTCCAGAGGTCGGACCTCAATGAACGGAAAATCAGAGGTTTTGTTCATCCCCAGAGGTTTTTTTGAAATGGCTTTGACGAAAAATCAGGTACCATCAGTTATCCATTTCAAAAATCCCAGGCTTCATCATTTTCCCATATTTTTTCATTAATATATGATATTTCTCCCATTCCAAAAGCTCCTTTCCATCCTCCATTATCCTGTCGCTCCCCGACGCAGGTGAATAATCGCCCTGCAAAGCCTCTGGAGCCAAATATCCTCAGTGCGACCAGCTGCTGGGAATAGAACCATCTATAACCAACACTATGGGGAAATAGCTCTTGGGTGTACTCCACCATTCCAAATTCCATGAAATGCTAGTTAGTTTTGGAGAAAACTCATGGATTATGATCATCTCCAACATCTAAAGGGCAGTATCTCGTCCCCCAACTCACTGCAAAGGCTCCCAAAGTGCCAACGACGTGTTTGGCACGAGGAGATTTGGGTTCGTACCTCGTTTCCGATGCAATCCAAATGGGTTGGTCTGTAAAAAAATGGGGAGAAACCTCAAATTTGATGGTTGATGGTTGCTCATCTTCCGCAGTCAAATGGCCATTTAGGGGATGCACCCCATCAAACAGACCCAAGTTGTCTAAGCAACAGCGGTCTGCGACATGGCAGGCTCACTCCAAGCACGTATCGAAATCGATCAGTTTCACGGCCCTGAGCTCAATGTCAGAAAATCGAACCTGGACCCTCCACTTTCAGTTGATCCAACACACAAAAAAAAGAACAAACAGCTGTAATCCTGGAAAATGGGAACAGGCCCCGAAAAAATCTGGAGACCTCAAGTTTTTTGATCTACAGTTTATATTAATGTTTATTATCCAATTTGGCCAGTCATATCCCACTAGTCACTATATCCCCCTTCCCCCCCATTGGTTCTCGTCGGATTCATGAAATTCATGGCTCCCCAGCTTCTTACTGGCCGGCGTCTTCGGAGAGTTCGGCTCGTTCGAAGTGTCGTGGAACATGATGTTCTCGGGCCTCGGCTTCCGTCGCTGCCAGGTGCTTCCGTGGCGGCATCTCGGGCAGGGCTGCGATGTTCGGAAGATGTGGATGAAATCTCCATCCAAAAATATGCGAAAAGCACAGCCAATTGAGCTGATGCTGAGCTCTTGACTTGATGTCGCGGTGGATTAGACCCCTGACAATGGGGGTGAACTGGTGTCTTCCCATCGAAACGTCCGCGGAACTGGAGAAAATCAAAGTCGCTTAGACCAAAATACCCTAGATGAAACCCGAAGACTGTCTAGCAAGTTTACAAATCAAGCTCAAACTCTTCCATGTAGGCTCGTAGCCAATCATTTCTATGACTTTGCAATTGACACGCCATCTGCAACCCGCAAACTTGGCTGAGTTTGACACGCCATCGCCAGCTATTCCAGCTGAATGATGATCAACCATTGGAGGGAAGTGGGGTCCCAAAAATGAAGTGGGGCCCAACCCATTCCCATCATATCAAGTTGGTTTTATATCCCATGAAATATTCCTATTTTGTATCCCCATGATTCATGGTTGCTGCTAGTTGGGGAAATCATCCATGATTCATCGTTTAAACCCCTCTCTTTTGGGGCTTCAGCATCCAATTTTGAGGGATAAGTCCCAACCATATCAAACCAATTTCTCATTGTATTTAGTATGGGTTACTCTTACACATTTATATATATATATATATCATCCGATTTACTATATCCCAACTATGTCCCCATAACATAGCACCGTTGTATCTCCATTTATTTTCAGGGACCAGTGACCTGTTTCGGAGGTCGTACCTGGAATGGATGTGATCCACTGCTTCTAGGATCTCTCGCATGATCCGCTTGCACTCCCGTTCGGGCACATCCTTGGGATGGCAAAGCCCAAGTCCCGGCCATGAAACAAGGGAGGAATCCAGAGGAACAAAAAAACGCTGGGTTCATGGAAATTCCAAGTCAGGATATTAACCGCAGCATCTCACAAAAGAATTACATAGAGCACAGCAACATAGAACAAGCATACTGTAATACTCCTCTATAGGCCTTTTGCCGTACATTCGGATACACAAAGTGTGACAAAGATGTTGTGAAAAGTGCACTTTCTTTCTGGCGAATCTGGCGTCTGAGTTTCCAACTGTCTCGGTCTGGAGAAAGTCAAACAACTCTCCACCACTACACCGTGTCTGGCAGCGGATTGGGGCGCGTTCTTTTTAATCGCCAATCGATACGTAAACGCCCCACTTCGGGTGTCCAAGATCTCAGATCCATAAGGTTCCATAAGCCAGGCCAGCAAACCATGACAATGTAGTAGTTCTTCTCATCTTGAATGACCTGAAGTTCATGCGTCCGCCATACAAAAATTAAGCCAAGACAAGTGCACATCATTAAAACTCTTCGTAGCACATCTCAAGCCAAAGGGAAGCGATCTGGTCGTGTCTGACAAGGAGGTGCATACCAGCATCTATGGCAATGTTAAAAGCAAAAAGATTATCAACCTTCGTATTTTCAGTGATTACCCTTCAGTTTCAGGTACCAACCCATTTATCATATCAAATTGGCAATACAGAGAAATATAATGAAATATACATATATCCCATGTAACATTCGTTCATCGTATCACAGTCATGTTGCCATGATTGTGAAACCTATTTTTAAGGGGTCAATCCCAACCATTTCAAACCCATCTCTCATTGTATCAAGTTGGCTTATCTATTATATATATATATATATATCCCATTAATTACACTGGCACACATCTCCATAAATTGATTGGTTTGATTGTTGCTAAGCCAATATTCATTGAACACATATCAAGTGCGTATGTACTATGTATATATATATATAATACATAGTATACATAAGATTTCATGGTATATATACATAACATACATTATATATATATATACCATGAAATCTTCTCATCATATCCGGATCCCCGAGTCCATCATCCAAAAGGCCTTCACCCTTACCAAACCTCTTCGAGATCCCGACTTCTTTCAATCCCAAGACGTTGTGGTGACCCTCCAGGTTTAACATCCGAGTCAAGAGGGACTGCCACACCTCGGCGTTTGAAAAAAGTCGACCGGATTTTCGAACATACGATGGGCGATGGGAATGGCAGTGGCTACCAGGTTGGGTAGCCAAAGCCACAAAAAATGGGGAGAAAAATTGACCAGGGTTAGTAACCAGTTACGATCCGTGACTGATGATCATCCAAGCAAAAAAAAACATCTGGAAATTTCCCCGTGGTTTTCCTAGAAAAATGATCGACAAAAAAAAGGTGGCTTTTCTACTTCTCGAAGTGTCTATGTTAGTAGTTTACAGAAGGGGTTATACCCTCTGGTAATGACTAACAGTTTGCTATTGAAAATGGCCATTTATAGTGAGTTTTCCCATTCAAAATGGTGATTTTCCATAGTTATGTTAGTTTACCAGAGGGTAAATACAGTACAAAAACGAACTGATACATGGGTATAACACCAATCAATCTGATCACTTCACATGGCTAGCTGGAAAATCTATTTGGGGTCTAAATTAGTGAAAATGTGAAGGATGGTCAGATATTCATCGAACTAAGTGGGGAAATGTGTCCATTGACCCCCCAAGGTTGAGAACACTGGGCATTCCGGACAGCCTCACCGCCCACTGCAAAGTTCCTGCCAAATGGGGTGCAACAGGGCTTCCAAATCCACTGGTGATTCAATCAGTCTATAGTGAGTCTATAGAATGGTTATTGGTTTACCTGGAACCTGTTTGACAAAAATGCATCTGGTATTAATATATCATATATCCGTAGTTTTCGATTCCTATTAAACCCAAATATCTTGCGGCGCTATGCCCTATTTTTTGAAACACGCTCAAGGCCTCAAGGCAGTTTCCATGGAAAACCACCTGATCCTCGCGCCTTGCCCGCATCTTGACTATCCTCGGCCAGGGGGTCCCGGAAGACTCCAGCAGGGAATCTCTGCACGAGCCCTCTATGATTGGTGGTCAAGACCCTGGTTTCGGGTTTTCCCAACAAAAACTCACCCCGATGCAAATGAACGGACCAGGAAGGAGTCGAACCTCCAAAGACAAGTTGTCAAGTCTTGGACAGACTTTGCAACCTACGCCACACCCATAGGGCAACTGGTCCTCTACACTAGTTGAAGTGAAAGCTTGACATGACAGAACGGCGCTAGCATTAGTGGGTTTTCTTAGTCAAATCATAGATGAAACCGCCTCAAAATGCCTCAAATACCCTTCAGCCAAGCGGCACATCCTCGCCACTAGGCTTAAAGACTGCTTTCCAGACTTGAGTCTGGCCTCAACTTTGGGCTTGACACCAAAAACCAATGCCATGATATGATGGGAACATCTTGGGACATGATGTTGCGTTCAAAAAACTTAATGTCCATCCGAACCGAACAGGAGAAACAAATTGAACCTCCTGAAACGCCAAACAGCTATTGCTGCGAGGACAGGGAAAAAATGGCCACAGCTGGCTCCACCATGACATGATCTGAAAATGATTAAGCATGGGTTCAAATGGCGCAAAGCGGGGTTCCAATTTTGAGACAACGTGCTTGTCACAAGTCAACCTGCCAGAGCTGATGAGTTTCATCCACCAGGTCCCCAACTTCCGACATCGTGCAAACATTTTTGCAGATCGTACTCATCCTCACCAGCTCACGGCATAAGGCACAAGGAACAGCGCAAAGTTTTCCTTCACTTCTTCATAGGTAAAAACCAGTACCCCAACGGTTACAATGGTTGATTTTTTGAGGGTGGCATGTTGGAAGGACCATCTGTTCCAAGAGCAACATCTGAGCAGAAACTCGGCTCATGTGGTCCTGCAGCTTTTCCTCTGGCTTCAAGATCCTGCGGCGTTGCAGACAAAACAGAAATGCCTTGGCAATGGATATTGCATGGGAAAATCAATGGTTTCCAGAGTTTCCCTTCCAATCCGAAGCCAAGTCGCCAAGTTCACAATTTTCACCACGTCACTTCCAAGCTGCACAGCTAAAAAAACGTCCTGATCTTCCGGTTCCCTGCAACATTGACCTGCGGGGCCTGGGGCGGTCCAAATTGGTCGGTTTTTCCCATCGACCACGGCGACCACGGCTGCTGCCTGGGGGCCCAGCCTTCTCGACCTTCAAAGAGCTGAATCCGCCAGCTGCTTGCCGCCGTTCAGCCAAGGACTTGCCGCCTCCAGCCCCCCGAGGAAGGCAGTTGCCATGGTGAAAAGTCATTGAAACTGATGAAACCACATGGATGTGTCCTTCAATAGAGCTACCCATGGCTACCCCCAAATCATCCACTTTAGGATTTTCCATTGCAATTCATCCATTTGGGGTACAGTACCCCTGTTTTAGGAAACCTCCACGTGTTTATAGGGACCAAATATTATACTTATTATATCTTATTATAAGAATTTATAAGAGATGTTGAATATATTTACGACATGATGACATGATGATGATCTTTACGGACAAAATATAGGGCTTTTGGTGCTCTGGAAACATCAGCGCCTCCGGAAGCTGCCATGCCTTTCCGAAGCGTTGATGGGTTGATCGGCACACAGGACAATGGAAAATCCCCAAAATCCCCTCCTTTGTCACAGTGCTCCCCTTTAAAAGGGGCGTAACATTGCATGCCGGGCCCAGTTTTTGGACAAAGCATACACACCCACATCAACTAAAATGTGCAACGAGCAGAAATGAAACAAACCGGTATTTGGGTGGATTGAGTCAAGGATATCAAGGATACCAAGCTTTGGCTCCGATAGACCCATAGCTCCAATCAAAGTCGACATGTGTCGCTCCCGGGCACCTTGTGCCACTTATAGCACAATGCCGGCACCGGCAGAAGTATTTTAACTTCTTGCTCCACAGAGGTTTCTAGTGTGACTGCACTGTTTGGGTTGGTGGGGTAGTGCAAAGAGTACCGTGTAGGATTGTGAGAGAGTGGATGATGAAGTACTGATTGTCGGATCGGGCCCTGCTTGTCCTGTCAAATGTGGGACTTCAGTCCTGCTAGTCCTGCTTGATATACTTGAAGGAGACTTACTCGAGCATTGCAAAAGATTGCGTGCAAGCAGGTACGAACCTGTGCTTCAGAGCCAAGTGATATTTCTTGGCAACCAAACTCGGAAAAAGTGCAACAATGCGAATTTAGCAGGCTTCCTCAACTTGACTCCACAAGCCACAAAGCCTTTCCTCAAAGCACGGCCAGCATGGTGACTTCATTAGCAACTCAGCATCTTTGGCTGAAGACCTGCTCGGACATCTTGTCCCAGAGCAGTTTTTTGTCAGTTCGGCAGCTCACTGCGACAGAGGCCTCGTTGTGAAGACAGCCATGGCACACCAAGAACGTCACATAACGCCCGAAAATTGCCATCTCCTAAAATTTTGAAAATCCTCTTCCAGACTCATTTCTGGAATTCCAGGTCAAAGTTTAAGGGGTATGTATCACCGATCAGCGGTACTTCTCTCGGACGCAAAGTCAGTCAGCTGCCACGGCTTTTTGGAAACCAACTCTTTAGAGGCTGCAACGTGTCTCGGACCTCAGCTGTTAACCTCACCTTCAGCTTGGTTGAAAAGCTGCCGGCCCACTCGGTGGAAGCCAGCGCGCCAAGCAAGAACGGTGGAAGGATGTGAATGGGCCCCAGGAATCTGTATCAGGCAGCTGCCGCCTCCAACTTGTCCTGTCAGAATCTGAGGAAATCCTAAAAGCCACTTGAAAAAGTTGCCACAAATAGGCTATGGTTGATATTGGTGAATTCCAGATCCTATTGATAGTGTCTTGTGTACTTTTGGTCTCTATAGGTGGTGCACCATCCACCAGCCTTGTCTCACCCGTTTGTCTATCTGGCTTTGTCGCCATGAAATGGGTATTGTTGGTTGTTACTTGGAAGTGCAGTTCCTGTAGAAAAGTGGATGCAGAACCATAGAAGCATACACCCCATATCCCAACTTATGGGGGTTGAAATCCCATGATTTATAGCCATACAAGCAACCTCAACTGCACCCCCAAGTAACCCCCATGTTTGTTCGTTAAGCTCTAGCAATCTAACAATCAGAAATAATGTATAAATAGGCCTTTTCCATAGCGAACTGTCAAAATGCCAGAGGGTATTACCTATCTATCTATCTATCTATCTATGTATGTATGTACGTACGCACGTACGTATGTATGTATGTATGTATGTAATTATATATATATATATTCCCCCTAAAACGATGATTTTCCGAGCTATAAACATCCATTTTCATCAGGGATGTCCCTATTGTTGATGCTTAAATCCTGATTCAAAAAGGCTCTGAAGCGGACCTGCGTCTTGGTCTCGAAGTCGCTGCGGGCATGCCGGTTGTGCAGCTGCTGTGACTTGTCCCCGAAGGGACGGTTCACCATCACACCACGCTTCCTGAGAAGACAACCCGAAGTAGGTCGTAGATGTGGTGTGTTTACAAAGTATGTTATTTATAATGTATATATATATATACACATTTATTTATAATATTTATATATATATATATATTATACAGTAATAATGTGTATAGATATATGTATGTGTATGTGTACTAGTAGGTATATGTGCAACTGTCGCTTGCTCCAGGCAACACTCCAGGTCGCTCTCCCACTCGCTTGGACCAAGCGCAGACATTCTTGTACTCCTGGAACGCGCAGACAATGCTGGTAGCAGCGGGAATATACATTTATTTATATATATATACATATATTTAATATATATATATTATACATATGTATAATAGGATAACAACTTAAAGAGAATCCCGTCCCAATACTTAACACCCCCATTCTGTGGTCACAAAATGTCACAAATATGTGTGTTCATCCCCCACTAAACCATAGTCTATGGAAGGTGTTTGATATCGGGGGCAGGGATTATTGAGAATGGATGGATTGAAGCATCAACCAATGGACCATGTTTGGATTTTTGATTGGGGATAACTTAGGATTCAACCCCTTGCTACTTTATTGCTATTTTATAGTGATTACATGGGAATATCGTGGGAATATCATGACCCCCCCTCTTGAGAATACAGGTACCGTGTCTGATTCCAAGTGCTGCCTTAGGTCTATTTTCCAAACAATACAAAAGCTACAAATTCTGCAACCGCCAGAAAGATACAAAAGTAAATTCCTACTTTCAATATCTTTAAATAGTGATAAATTACAGCACTTTGCTATGTTTTTTGGGGCAGTGGTGGCACTTTTTTTTCGCACTTTTTGGGTCCTTGACCTGGAGAAATTCTGCGGCCTCACCATAGATCTTTCCATCCACCAACCAGCCAATCCAGGGCCAAATCGCCATGTCAGCGATGGTATACCTGGGACGCTGGCCGCGTCCTTTTCCGGTGGCACTAAACCCAAAGAATCCCAGGGGGGTTGAAACCTCGTCGTTTTGTCGCCAACTAAAAGTTTGGTTTTTTTGTGTATGTGTATGTATATATATATATTTATATATATATACTTATAATATATATATATATTATCCAGTACAGCATTTTGGGGACAAACCCTTTATAATCTTACGTAGAAATAATAGAGTATATCACAATATCATAGCTCGAACCCACCATACCCGAGCTTTCCATCCAAGAGAAGCTCAATCGACTTAGCCGCAACACTGGTCACCGCAGACGTACTGCTTGTTGCCGTCTCCCAAATGCTTATCCAAGACATCCACCAACCTTTTGGTCTCCATAGCATATCGGTCGATGGCATACTCAATCCTCGGTTGTAAAAGGGGCTGTTCCCTGGATTTTTTTCGGGGAAACTCTTGGCCCGGGTCCTCTCAAAAAAATGGTCCCAGTGAAGTGCAGCAAAAATCGCCACAATCTCCGAAAAACAAGTCTCTTCAGCGGAGCATAGTGGTAGAAATGTCCAAAGCCCCCACCGATGAAGGGGGCACTGCCCATTTGCCACATCAGCCAGTTTTGGCACTCTGCCCGGGCTGGATATTCCCTGGGGAAAAACTTCCCTTCCTTGTCGAATTGGTCGCACAAATACAGCAAGATTGAGCCAGACTCGAAAACCCGCACGGGTTTGGCCGGGTCAGAATAGTCCAACATGGCCGGGATCTTGGAGTTCGGATTGACTGCATTAAAGCCCGAGGTAAACTGCACGCCGTTGATGGGGATGAGCCACGCGTCATACTCAAAGTCTGGAAAGGCCTCAACCAGTTCCTCCAGCAGGATGGTAACCTTCACACCATTCCTGGGCGGCCGAAGGATAAGGCAGGGATCAGTCTGCAGGTTCTGGTGGATATCACTGTTTGATGAAGTGAAAGTAAAACAACACCGGAGAAAATAGAAACAACTCCATGCTTATTCACCCATCCAACTTTTCGGAGTTTTCTTCCAGCATAAACCCCACTGTTGATGCCGACCAAGTGGCGGAGTTCCCATGGAATAAAGCTGGATCTTGTGCTCGCCCTTTTCCAGGGGCTTGTCCTCGCCCCACGCGCCAGCATAAGGCCGGTTGGTGCCACCAAAAGTACCGCCTTGATCCTTGTACTCCCAGACCTGTGAGCAAAATCGGTGAACAAATCGAGATATGGAATACGGAGGTTTCCTAAAATCGAATCCCCAAATCATCCATGACTTCGTATTGAAACCCATGGTGACTTGGGGATCCTCCATTTTAAGAAACCCCCATTGATAAGGGGATGCCATGGGATCTAGTTGGGATATACAACCAACAGAATCCTTTTTGATTGCTTTTTGGGTGTCTGAAAATGGGAAAGTATGATAGTTGATCATCGTTTCACCGTTTGAAAATTGCCATGATGGAAAGTTCCCATGAATAGGGTTTTTTCCGACCATCCGCTATGTGGCTTTCGCATCAAGTCGGAGCTTCGAGGTATCTCAAGACTCAAAATAATGTCAAGTTCTTTGAAATAGACTGAATCATTCAAGAAATGAGATGTGAAATGTGTCAGGAGTCAGAAGCTCCGAAACACACAAATGACATAACTAGTTGAAGTAGTTGCAAATGAATTGACTTGAGGAGGTAAATCCCAGTTCACAAACTATACCGTTACCCCATTTACCCATGCACCTTAGGCACCACATATTCCGCTGGCAAGGAAGGCTTAGGCTTCTCCTCTGGCTGTGGAGCAGCAGAGCACCCAAAAAAATCCCATGTTTTACATTGAAGACAGGCATGTTTATGGGATTTTCATGGATTTTATGGCTATTCAACTTTATTCAACCCATTTTCAGACACATTGGCCACATTGGATGTGATTTCTTGGGATGATTTGAATGACCCGAAATTCGCAGAACACTTCTAACCTGGCAGATAATGAGCATAAAAACGAGAACCTTGGCTGAAAAATCTTCAACTTATTCCTTCGAAAATCGAAAATCCATGAATTCTACTACATCTAATTTTCATTTAATTTCATATACCCTCCAGACATCTGATTTTCGACCCACCGACCATGTAAAAAGTGTTGCTCCTCAGCCATGGTACCAGGACTAAAATCTATAAAACAATCGGCGAACGAGGCGAAGCCAGTCGCTTGATCCGGTGAAAATTCAGCAGAATTTACATCAGAAAACCACGAATCGCATCACGTGTGTTGGAGAAAGGTCTCATGGCTGCGAGTGACGTGGCTGAGTCAGGGGCACACCAAAATGCACCTCGCAGAAAGTCAGAAAGTCTCTTCGGCGGTTTTGCTGGCATTAAGTCATCAAATTCTTGCTGATTTGATATGATTTGATGCAGTAATTCAAGAGGGTAGCCGCCGGAAAGCAAACACATAAACCCTGATGTGGGCCTTGGGTGATACTGGCACTGGGAAACTCACAGCTCCTTGGTCCAACACAGTATGATCGGGTTTTGTTGCAGATCACTGGCAAGCTGATATAGGTTTGTCTCAAAAAAAAGGTTTTCCCATAAATGGCTATCTTATGGCATATAATGATGTCTCACACCACTGGATCCGGGGGGTGCATGCCCGGTTTTTTGGACGACTTGTCATCTCACTCACTTTCCATTGCCGTTGCGCCAAAGCGGAACCAAGGGCACTGCTTCCCAGTGCGAGAGGACTGTAGCCCTGGAAGGGAAAACAAAAATTCAACGCGCTCGACAGTGGGTGAACCACTGACCTGGACATGTCGAAGTCTATTCAAAAGCATGGGTCATTAAATGTCCCCATTGAACATCACCCAACCATTAGGTATATGGTCTATAATGGCTACTATAAGGTGATGTCCAATATTCCCAAAATGGGACAGTTACCAACCCCTGAAAAGGGTGAAAGATTATTGGGTTCTCAAGCTTGATGAGGAGGTAAACCCAATCATAAACATATTAAACATTGATTCATTCTCTCCATGACCCCCCCCGGATGCCTGACTTAGCATCGAACCCGGTGATGGATAGGGCCTGGGTTTTAGGAAACTGGATGTCAATGGGATGATATTCTGGGTTTGAGTTTGTCTGAAAATGGGCAAAAGACAGCTAAAGAAACCCCCAAAAATGACCATTTATATATGTAAGAAGGAAAATATTGATAAACAATTGGGGGTAACCTACTTTTAGTGAAACCATGTGAAACCCATATGTTTCTTGGTAAATGTTCCGCTAAACTTTGGCAACATGGCTTCAAATTGGCAAGACCTAATTGGTGGTTCATACTGTCGCCGCGGAAAAAAAAAAAAACAGGGTGATCTTCTGTACATTCCGTACATGTTCCCTTCTACATCTTCTACCAATGCATTGAATGGAGCCAACACAGAACCCTACCCAGCTGCGATGTAAAAACAACCGAAGCTTCTGAGATTCGGACGATCCGATCGCCTCCCACATTTCGCTGAAGAGAAGCAACTTCAAACCCACCAGGTAGCTTTGAAGAGTTGTATATATTATATATACATATATATATAAATATGTATTATAGCACACATCATGATTATCTTTTTTTCAAAACTATATATACTATATACTTGACTTGGCATCTGGTTCAGTAGAACCTCCATCAAAGCCACACTGCCTGTCCATGGTCCACGGCAGAAACACTTTTCGGCAGAAGTTGATTGATGAGCTTTGCTCGCCGCAGCACCTGAGTTCAACTGCACCATCTTCCAACTTCAGTGACTTCAGTGTTCCCAGAGATCTTCAGAAAGCTCCTTTCAAACATGACTTGTAAATGAAGCAGTGACAAAAGGCTGTGGCTCAAAATGATTGGCCATCCAACTATCCACATGTGAGGCTCTTGCATCATCGCTTGGGATCTGATCCCTCATTGTCTCCAGCCTCAAAATGAGGGACGTTGCCAGCCCTTGGAATGTGGAAGCGTGAACCCCAAATTTCAATCGTCAAGTATCATCAAATATCAATGAATATACCATGGACTGATGGACCCAAATCTGCGAATCGTCCTGCCAGTCCTGCCATGCTGACCCTTCTGACTGTCCGCACCTCTTCGACTCCCGCTTTAGCACCAAGAGCTCAGATCCAAGAGCCTCAGCTTTCGGCCATTTGGGCCATTTCTTGGGTCAACTGGGTCCACTGGGTCAACTGGGTCCACGAGTTGCCCCAAAACGACGAAGCCGTTGACGCAACGCGACACGTCGTGAACCAACAGCCCGCAGCTTTTCCCCTCCGCGAAGCAACGCGAAAGGTCTCGCAGAGGAGCAACGTCTCCTCGGCACGAGACTCCTCCGCAGCCAGGGGTGGTCAATCGTTGCAATTCGGAAGCGGGTTCGACTGAAAATGGGGTACCCCCATGCTATGGTACCCCAGGTCTCCATTTTATGGCCATTTGATCACCATTCTATGCCCATGTTGATAGGAAACACATGGAAACACGATGATAAACTGATAAACCATTCGATGTTGCATCCAATTGAATTCTGTGTCTCAAAGGCAGCGAAAAGAGCAGCACCGCATCTCCTCCCAGTCCCAAATGACTGGCTCCAGGTCCAGAATGTTCACATTCCTTAGATCTGCAAAATCATGGAGTCATGGCCCATCCAAGGGATATCCGGTACCCAAAACGGTGGTTTTATCCATACTTAAATTCCCATTTGAACGACAAAACATTGACGAATCCAACAGAACAAAAGGATCATGACAAGCACCAATTATAGAGTTGCAGACCATTAGTTGTGACAACAAAAGTATCAAAGTACCAGCCAAAAAAGATAGAATTTGGTAAATTCCGACCAAAATGTAATCATCATCGACTTTTCTATCTTTACCGAGGTTACTATAAAGATCTGTCAGGTATCAAAGTACCCATCCAAGATTGGGCCAGCCAACAACTGCGGCTAAGATTCAGCGCTTCGCGCAGGCCATCACGGCCACCGTGCGCCACCTCAGGTGGATTTTTCTTCATCAAGAATTCAAAAAAAAACAAAACGTCCTCCATGACTACTGAAAAACAAACAAAAAACATCAAAAAACAAAATTCTGGCTGATGGATCACTGATGGTTTGATCAAATTCCTCATCATTCCATCAATTCCATCACCTCCTCGAGCATGGCTCGGCTGCGCAGCCGGGGCGTTCGGCGCCGCGCCAACTGTTCCAGTGTTCCTCGTGCGACAGATCGAACCCGGACACGTGGATCATTTCGGGGAAAAATCAACATATTTCCTAAAAATAAAAATGACATGCGCTGAGGCGCTGAGGTTGGTTCCTTTCGCTCATTGGATTTTAATATGGATTTATATGGATTTTATATGGATTTTATGGTGGTTTCGGTTGTTAAGCATCATTCAAGCAATGGTGAAGTCGTGTCTTCACAAGTTCCCATCATGGTCCAACTTGGAACCTGTTCTCGCAGCTTAGGGCTTTCCCACCTGCTCTTCGGGCAACTTTGGCGCCCCTGGAGCAATCGTAGCTTGGTGATGGATCGAAAGAGATCAAAATCGCTGGTAGTTAATCGTAGCTGTGCATGTTCATCACCTTGAAAAATGGTATCAGAGGTTTTATCCCATGTCAGTCTGCGAAAACACAAAGTGTCATCGTTTCCACTTCAGTTCATGCCCACCTCTCAGCACTATTAATGCTGCTTTCGGAAGCATCACTCCTCTCCCCCCGTGTTCACGGCATTGGTCAGGAAGCAGGACCAATGCAAACGAGGTTGGAACCACTGCAAAACGCATCCCATCGTAGATGTGAAAAATTCATGTCATCCGGCTGCTTCAACCCTGGTCCATCACACGTTTCTCGCCGCGTCTCTGTTCTGGCTGTTTGTTGTCCAGAAGTTTTGGTGACTATCCCTTGTTATCTCCATGCATCCTCCCTCTTGTTCGCATCACCATATTGCCAGATTTATATTCGCAAACGCTGGGCAAAAAGTATGCATGCCACACTACAGAGCCCACAAACCTCTAATTTCGACACCATGGTGTAGTCCTTTGAGCTGCTTCTGCCAACGGCAGCACTTTGGTCTGCAGTGGCACAACTGCCAGGGATGCAGGAGACACCTGCCGTACCGTGTCCAACAGCCGTCAATTTCTGAGGTAGCAACCCATGTCATGCTACGTTCATGATGATATGTGTGTATATCTACCACATTACAACTGATGTATGTGGGATTGTCTGAAATTTTGGTGAAAAACCATGAACATGACTCAACATGACCATAATTTGTAGACAATAACCCCATTTTCAGACAAAGCCCATGTTGGTTTTCACACACTGAAAATGCATTCCTCACCCGCTGGTAGGGCAAAAAGCTCAGCTGCTCCTCAGCGCGTCCGCCGGCATCAAATGTGTGAACCCAACCAAGGCCGACGCCGGTGGAGAAAGGATGACTTTTTAATGGTGTTCTTTACTTGGAAATCAAGAAGACTAATGAAAATCAAGGTGAAATCACTTTCACAAATTCATCTCCCTCCACCATGACATTTCCAGACCCTTCAGGTGAAGCCGATGCTGAGGTAGATGCTGTTAGCCGCTGTCGCCTCATCTGCTCTAACAGCGCAGTGGTGGCAGTGGTAGTCTTCCTTCGCTGTGCTGCTCTTGTTGTAAGTTTAAGTCATTTGGGTCTGGGTCAGAATTGGCCGGTGGACAACTAGAATGATTAGAAATGATTAGAACTGATTAGGATTAGTTTTCGATGGTACCAGACTGGATGACTAATTTATTCACACAACTTGGATGGCAACAAAGCAATGATTCGAATGTGGTCGATCAATCCACTCTGGCACCAAAAACTGTTCGCATCAAACATAGCCGGTAGTTCTGGACGCGCGTTCGCCTCGAAAATCGTTCTTTCAAAAAAAATCAGGTCACATGATCCATCCCAATTTCTCAACGCAAGAATCTTCAGCAAGTCGATTTTCTGTCCTCCACCATCTCAACTTTGTGATGTGCTGAAATTCCTTGGTCGAGACAGAATTTTTTGGCGCCCCAAATGCCTTGGATAGCCCAAGGAAGAAAAGGACATTCGAGTAGGGAAAACGGTGATAAACCATGGAAAACCCTTAGGATGTTGGAAGTTCACGATTTTGAGATAACCCTGAGGTAAAAGCAAAGTATAAATCATGATCATAGATACCTTACCCTTCTCAAATCATGTTATCATCAAACACCTCCACACAAATATGTTGCACAACATGGTAGTCACTTGAGCTTCGCGCCCGTTTCCACATGGCGCAAAGCCATGGCCAAGTACAAGAAGGCTCTGGGACACCAGGACGTTACCACCAAATCATCGTTGCTAGATGATTTTGATTCTTTTTTGATAATATCTGGGTCAATTGAACAGCAAACATTGACATCCAATAAATCACAATAAATCCACCAGCTTAAAGTTCCATTTTATCATATTTTATCTATCCGACAACTAGCAGTGCAACTGTTCAGCATTATCAGCATTTTGAATCGAACCTGCCATTGCATCATGGTCAGAGTGTGCCTATGGTGTTGTTTCATCTCAATGGACAGCCATCTGGGAAACAGTTCTTCGCATTACAGCTTGGTGCCTTTGTCCACTGAAAGCCAAAACGCATCTCATTGAATTGTTCAAGCGATGGAAGAATCATGTCAGGCAGTTCAAAGTTTGCATGCGCCACCATTGCTCTAGACAGGTTTGTTCCACCCAGTTTGAAGTGTCAACTGTGAACCTCTATAATTTAGTGTAAGGATGTGTAGCTAGACACTAGTCGTCCGAGGTGGTTCATGCCTTGCTTGAACTTTGCCAGGCTTGATCTGTAGAATGTTTTCCAATTGGACCTGCTGTGGCCCCGACTTGCACCATCCTCTCCTTGTGACGTGGCGATTCATGAAGTGACCATGAAAAAGGTTTACTCCCGGCTGGTAGCCATGAATCTCTTCAGGTTACCCAGCCATTTGAGTCGTAACTGCCAGCAAGCTGCAAATTCCTGACGGCCCAACACCTTGTGCCCACGAAGCCTGGGCTTTAACAAGGCAGGGCTTAACGGCTTCAACAAGGTAAACTGACTAGAGAAGCGAAGCCAATGGCCAGGTTGCTGACCATTCTTGCACATAGGGAGGCTGGCGCTTGGCATGATCCTTATTGGATTGTCCCCCATTGGAAAAGCTTGGGAAAACAGCCATTTCGCAACCGCGATCTCAGCGATCTCAGGACATCCCGGACTTACCCGAAATGTTTTTTTTGTCAAATCTTGAGACCAACAATAGGTCAACATCAGCTTCCGGCCAGAGCTGTCCGTCCCAGCATGTCTGTGCGAACCTGGTCTTTTGGATTTATGATTCAGGACCAAGCACCAAGCCACCAAGCCATCAAAGAACTCGATCGGCTTTCTGGAAGGGCAAATCTACAGGAACCCTTTGTTTCACGATCCAAATCTGGGGTTTCCTGTACATTTTCCAACAAAATCTGTGAACAAAGACACCTCTCTGCGAAAAAAAAAACGAGCAACCAGCGGAAAAAAACATCATGCTCAGCCCTCTGCCGGATCGGCAGAGCTCTCTAGAAGCAACTGCAGGACCTACCCAACACACGGGGGCTTGAAAACAGCGACACAGCACACGGCACATTGGCAAAATCTTTTCTTGGGTTCCATTTTTATAGGGGATCCTCATAGCAGGATGGTGAATATTTCATGGAAAATCCTGTGAAATAATGGATGATTTGGGGCTTCCCATGGGCTTCCCCCATTTATGTAAACCCTAATGTTACAACCTCGTGAAAGTCCAGGACGCTTCACTCGCCTCTAGCTTACCGTGACGTGCAGCACACATCAATGCTGTGACCTGAAGTGCCCAGCCGCTGGTGAGAAAGATTTTTCCTCAATCAAATCAAGGGACACCTATATATATATTATATTATATTATATTATATTATATTAGATTAGATTATATTATATTATATTATATAATATTATATTATAGTATATTATAGTATAGTATATTATATTATATTATATTATATTATATTATATTATATTATATATATTCTCAAAAAAAAAATGGATGGGTTCACGCTCCCCAGTCATTTGTTCATGTTTATCATCTTTCTTTCCTTGCAACTATGGTATTTTCTTGGATGGTGCCCTCCTTTTTAACATCCAAAAACCACCATGAATGGTGATGGCTGGGGAAACCCCCTTCCACTGAGGCAAAGAGCTCCACTCCAGGCCACAGAATTGATGTTGGCACGGCTGGTGAGACATCTGCGGCTGGGGGATTCTCTAGGTTTTTTCGGCAATCGCTTGCAGACCCAATATAGGATTCTTGGAATTCTATACTCTGGAATTCAAAAAAAAATAAGGTGGTTTTAGAGGATAGAATTCCAAGAATAATGACGATTGGAATCCATGTCAGGGGATACAATGGGATGTGCAAAGCCAACAATGTGACGATAAGGGATTGAAACCCCCAAAATTCACAGGAAACTCAATGCACCTCTTTTTTTCGTACAACTCAGACTGTACCAGCGAAGGCACCATCGATGTTTCACATGGTTGTTCTTTTAATCCTAGACTCATGATGGTTTCAATAGAACCATTTGGGGTCATTCTGTAGTTTCAACCCCTCTGAAAGACAGTGGCCAGTGATCATCATCTCCCTCCACAGCATAGTTCAATCCTCCATTCTTGTTGGGGAGCCAGTCGCCATTCGTTGGTTAGTCATGTTCCTTTGAAACCAAATCAGCAACGGATCCTCCTTATACCGAATCTGTTTGTGGTAAAGTCCCCATGATTCAAAAAGGACCAACAAGGATATCATAAGTCATCTAACGGAGAAGAGTCTGTTCCACCTCCAGAGATTCGAATATTCTTTTGGGCCCCACATGAAATCAAAACCAAATCACTACTAAATCATCACTAAATCCCTTTTCTATCCTATGACATCCCATTGAATCCTAATTTAATTCCAATTAAATCACCATTAAACCACCATTAAATCACCATTAAATCACCATTAAATCACCATTTCCGCATGAAATCCCCTCACTCAGAAACCCACAGCACCCGGGTTTCAGCGCACCGTTGCACCAGGGCCAAGCGCCCACAGGCGGCGGCTTGAAGGAGACGCTCGGCCAGGACGGTGCGGTGCTCCGACAGCCTGGCTCCCATATGTATATACTGTGTGTATATATATATATATGTAATATATATATATAATATACTGTAATATACTGTAATATACTGTAATATACTGTAATATACTGTAATATACTGTAAAGTATATTTATATATGTGAGTGTAATGTGATGTAATGCAATGTGATGTTATGTTATGCAATGTATTCCTTCATGAAAAGGTGCGGGAAAGGAAAGAAATTAGAAGTATCATGGAATTTGTTCTATCTGATACCTTTCTTGTCGTTCTCGATGTCAAGACTTCGCTGGCAGATTGAAGCTCTGGCGACATCACATGGCAGCGTCGCATGGTGTCGTCTGGACCTGGAGTGGCTGACATGGTTTCGTACAAAACTTGGAGTCTCTTTTCTGAATCCAAAACCAAAGATTATTCCAACTCGCAGCATGGTGGATGTCCAGGGCAAAGATCCTAGATCCTATGGCAACCAATGGCACGTCCATGGCAACCCATGGCACATTTCGCCCAGGGACGTAGGGAGCTTGGTGATGCCGCAGGCGCCGTGGGCGCCGTGGGCGCCGTGCCCAACAGATGCGGCACGGATCCCACGGAGGCCGCGGGCGGCAACGGCGGTGCCAGCGATCTGCAGGCGACGCCATCGTGGAGTTCCAGTTCTAATAGTTCTAGGACATGATAATCATGACCCATAGGATCCATGTATGGTATATATGCTAACATTGGGGGTATATATTGATGGTAAATGTTACCATATATATATATAGCATACATGGATCCTATGGGTGATAGAGGAGAAGATCTCCAAGAAAAAATATGTTTTTCCTTGTTCCAAGCTAGAATTTCCTCCGTTTTTGGAGATGTCCCAGATTTCTGGTGGCCAAACCTGCACTTGGTGACTGTGTCACCAAGTCGTTTTTGCGCCAACTGAGTCACCGGCACACTGGGACTGGCCACTGCATCGTAGGCCCGTTCACCTCGAGACAGCCAAATTTGGGGCCTTTGATGTTTGAACCAAAGAAACAAAATTGGGTATCCTCATATCTTGATATATCTTGATGATCCATTGGCAATCTTGATGAACTAAATAAATTTTAGTGGGCTACCCTACTTGAAGAGACACACCGATGTCGCCAGATCGAGTCTTCGTGATCTTCAAAACCTATGCCAAACGTCTCTGCACATTCGCTGGTGATGTTGATGGAATGAATAGCCCAAGAGACATGACATCCTGCCACGCCTGCAAAGAATCTTGGGGGGTCTGCTGAAGAAACACCTGCAGAAACAAAAACACTCCCAGCAACATCTTCTCCAAGTGCATGCCAGGTGTGTCTAACGCTTCCCTGAATACTGTTTACCTATTTTTCAATAGAGTCCATCTACAATATCGTTTATAATACAAAACATGGTTGTGCACTCCCAGGCGGCCATACTGGATCCTGTTGGCTTTTTCTCTGCCCCCGTGACTGCAACCTAGCTCTGCCGTGGCTACTGCCGTGGCTCTAGGTGCTATGCCAATGATGGTGGAATGTATTGGTGCTATGGCTGCTATGCCAAGAAATCAATTCCCCGACGCAATCGTCTTCATGTCAACTTTCAACGTTGAACTTCCTTTCGGATCAGCAACCTGTTTCACCAGCCAGGACCGCACGAAAGCGAGTGGTGTTCTTCCAGTCCATTCTTGCAGAATCTTTCCACTGCTTCAGCTGTGAGAAAGACCTTGAGAGTGACTTTCCTGTCTGCGTGACGGTGATGGGATCATCGTACCTGACTGATCCTGGGATCATCAATTGAGACAGAGAATGCCAATAGTGGCCAGAGATGGCCAAAGGCAGTCTCACTGAGCTCCTTCCGTAGGCGCAGCCTGCGCCTTGACGAAGTGGCTATCTCGATGACCACCTGGGCTCGCTGTGAGCTGACTCTCAAACAATATCTTAAGTCTTAAGTCATCCCACGTCTGGATATACGACTCGTTTGACTTCACACCAGTTGGCTTTCCCGCTTCAGCATTAGCAAGCTTTTCGTACTCTTCAGAATCCGTATGGAACCAAAGCGCCTTCTCGAAAGCCCAACAGCTTCGGACTGCCTGTTATAGCAATGACAATCACTTGAAGCAAGCGCCCGAAAGTAACTCCACTGAGAGCTTCTGGCAGCTTCTGTCCTGTGTAGCCAGAATGCCAAAGACACTTTCCGTCACTTTCCGTCACTTTCCTATATCTTGGATCTGTGATCTTCGGCCACCCTCCTTGCGACGGCATCTCCTCGTGGGATCGCTTCATCTTCCGGTTTCCGCAGGCACTGAGTCAACGTATCAGCAATGCTTGAGAAAAACTCAAACTGAGTTAGTAGATGCTTGTAGTGAAATATCAAGAATTGTGCCCATACGGATTTGGATGCATGTTTTCCCAAGCTGTGTGGGTCTGCGATCCCTCTACTCACTTATTGGTGGTTCGACTCTTGGATTCGGGGCAAAACAAATACATCAGTATTGAGGAGTATCATATACTGGAAGCCTGTGACGGAACTTGGGGCAGTATGTTGAAGGGTGGCTGCTATTGTTTCAATCACTGAATTTGAAGCCAACGGAGTTCACCGTAAATTGCAGGTTGTAGTCTTGAAAACCCAACTATCACTGATCACTGATCACTGAAATCCTTTAGTTATGTTTAGTTACAGATGTTACAGTATCACTTGGCTCTTGGATCTGTTGGGTTGTCGGCATTGCATGGCATTGCGCCTTCCCGCTCAAGCCTGCGTCTCAAGTCCTGAGACGAGTCTTTCATCACTCATCCACTGGTCGCTGCAGAAGTACAGTGAATTTTATAGTGATTACAAAGTGATCCAAAAATATAATCCACTGGAAATAGCTGACTTACATAGTGATCCAAACAAATCCAAAAATATAGATCGATGATGTCGCGTCTCTGTTCAGATCTTGATCTTGCTTTTGGATCACTTCACAGGACGCTCCTCAATGTCCACGCGTGTGGACTTGATGAGCCCTTCCAGAACAGAAACCTGGGAAAATGAGACAAGCAACATCCTAAAAGGTGCCCCTTCAAGATCAGCAGCTTCAATGCCGGATTGAAAGATTGAAATGCTTCAATGTCAACTTTCTCACAAACGACCAACAGGGTACTTCATATCCACATCATGCTGGATTGAGGTAAAAATGTGTGCCATGCTTTCCTACCAGTCGAGGACTTCTTCATCAAACAAACAGCTTCCTTTGCAGGGTCTTCAGCTGCCGACATAGTCTCGCAGTTGAGTTTTGGAGCGACCGGAACCTGATAGCAAGGCGCCTTGGGTTTCCTGCTCGCCAGCTGATCTCACACTCCCAACATGAACCCTAAGGAACCCCAAAAAATGAATGAAAAACAATACTCCACCATGGTTTCTAGTGGCTAAACAATGGATGAATATGGGGGGTTCTTAAAATGGGCAATCCTAGGTTTCAATATGTTTCAATGCTACAATGGTCTAATTTTGGATGATTTGGGGTACTCCACGTTTTAGGACACCGCCACGACGACACAGCGGATGGGATCCCAGCGAGCAAGTGAGGCCCACTTCGCTGTCACAGATGGAGCTTCCTGACTCGAGCCCTATGACTTGGACCGTCTGAGGATCCTGGCGTTCCACATAAATGATCATAAATGTATAATAATCTCTAATAATGTATAATAATGTATAATAATAATAATGATAATGTATATTGATATTGTATTGTAGCGCAAAAGCACTACAACCAAATCTTTGTTGTTTCATGTGTTACATGAAGTTACATGTCCACTTGGCTTCCTTGGCTTCCTCCAAACGTCCCACCTCCATCGTGGCGGCCTGATCTATCCAAGTCTCGATCTCCTGCGGCTAAAGAACCCCATGTTGAAATGATGTGGTAAGCTTAAAAAACCTTAAAAAACCATCAATTCTTGATGGGGCTATGGTCTTTTGACATTGCTGGAATGAGATGAATGAGTCTTAGATGCTAAAAAATCGGAAATTCGATGAGTTACATAGCCCATTCTATTATGGATACGGTATAGTATGTGCCATAACTATCCATCACTTGTAAATTCCATTATGGATATCCATAACCTGATAGTTTATGGATGTTTATGGTACATCACTTCTTGAATCGCCAGCCCGTCCTTGGCCGCTCGCTGCCGGCTGTCAATTCGTAAAGACTCGGCCAAGCGGCGCTTCCGATCCTTCTCATGCCTCAGGCGACTCGACTCAGCTGTGCCAACTCGAAATCTGCCCGATGTGAAAAAATCCCTGAATTTTAGGCTCCAAAATGAAGAGATTCAATGTAGAACAAAGGTTTGATAACTTCTTGGTTACCAGCTGTATTCAACTTCGATGTGCAAAATGCTGTTCTAACGAATGCGTTGCAAGGCACTTCTCAGCATCCTCTTTCTGTCGTTGTTTCATTTCGCTCGCCGTGCGATACTCTTCCTGCAACCTCCTCACAAAGTCCTCACAGTCAAATGCCTCATGGCTTCGAAAGACTCACACCACCAATGGATGATCATCCCCAATATATTGGGTACAACAAAGTCATCTTTTTGGTCCGTATAGTCCCATTTCTGATCATCAACCCGGGATTTTGAAGCTCACAGCTCCAAAAAAACTTTCAACGCACACCAGTCCGGGTCCTCCCAGTCCTCCCAGCAGACCGTCCTCCATGACGAAAGGCTTCAGGGCTGAGTGAATCATCAAAGCAGCACTTTCGGTGATGGCGCTGCTGGTTTGATCCAAGACCTGGCCGATGGCAAAAAATCTCGGATCCGCGGCTCGGAAAGCTTAACGGTCCCCTTTAACGGTCATCTTCACGGTGAAATCACGACGTACGGTATGCAATGTCTGTATGCAATGTGTGGAATGTATGGAGATATGCAATGAAAAAAAACACCAAAACACTAAATTTTAAGTGATGTATGATATGTATGATATGTGTGGGTGAGGAGTCACTCTACCGGAATTGACTCAATGGAAATTCACGCCATGCATTTAGAAATTGCCAACAGAAGGAAGCCCCTCGTTTCCACTCGCCTTGAGTTGCCGAAGAACTCGCAAAAAGTTCTGCTCGGAGACTCCCTCCTGCCAAAGGCCAAAACAGACCTGACCACTGAAAAACCAGTGATTCCAGTGATACTTGCTCTTCAGAACTTCAATCAGCACACTCCTCATAATAATCGTGAACATCTCTTAGCCTGTCAGCACAATTGGTCGCCACATGATGCTCCAAGGGGTGTCACGTAGCAAAATTGTAAATCCCAAGCCATCCCATTGATTTATAATGATTTGTACATGTATTTTGATAGCATTTTCCCAAGTCTGTAATGGCCATTCATCGCGGTCTTTCCCATGCTTTAGGTTCCATGAATTCTTAAGTTTAATGACCAGTAAGCATAACATCGCTTTTCCCGTGGATTCTCATCATGTTCTCCCCGTTTTCCAACAAAACTGCCATTTGGCTGGGATACTGCAGACATCCCATTTTCAGACAGAGGTTTTCCACCATTTCTTTCCATTTCTCCACCACATCTCCATCATGGCTCCTCTCCCGCTTGCAGTTTGGGCGGTGGCGGCTTCGGCGCGTCAGGCGTCACCGGCGGCAGCACCTTGGGGACGGCGCCCGGGGCGATTTCGCGCAGGTGCTCGAAGGCCTCCACGATGCCACCCGCTTTCTGCTCCAAAAAGTTGGCGATCTCAACCTGGATTTTTTGGGCTGGGCGGATGAATTATGGGATCCATGGGATTTTGAGTTTGGATGATTTATGGATGGATTTATGGTGTTTGTTATGGGGATTTGTTCATAAGTTTGCTATGATTTGACTATGATTTGGCCGACAAAAATATAGAGGACATTACCCAACTCAATACCATTGGGAAGTTGGCAATCTCAACCTGGGAGTGTCCACAGCTCAGAAACCGTTGCCATCTTCCAAGCACCTCATCAGATGCAGAACCACAGCTTTTCCTATCTTTTCCCATCCAGATGGCCCACTTTTCCACCCCACACCGTGGCTAGGAGACAACGACGTAGCCCACGATGTGATACATCAAGGCTTTTTGCAGCTCCTGAACCGAGATGCTGCCAGTTCGGTCCTGGCTGGCAGAAAAAAATATGGAAATTCCATGGGGATTCGATGGGGATGTCATGGAGGTATAACTTATAACTTATAACTGTATAGCCAAGAGAAATGGTGAGAATTTTGAATATAATTGGAGAATCATTGGGATTTTATGGCCGTCCTGACCATTATAAATGACACATCTGGAAAACCTATGGCTAATTGTACTGGTTCAAACAATCTGAAATAAAGCAATTTTGGGATAATTGCCTTTGATAACCATAATCTATACATAGTGACGTTGCAGAGAGGTTTTGCATTGT